ATATATATATATATATATATATATATATATATATATATATATATATATATATATATATATAAACGGGTCAAAGTTTGCAACTTGGTATGTCTTGTTAACTTACGTAGAAATCACATCTCAATAATTTACACTACTTTATTGCCCCATTCTTTTTGTCAAAAACCACTTGCAACATCTTTTACCACATTTTTCAAAAAAAAAAATTAAATTAGAGGATAAAAATTCAAAATTATTTTTTAGCTTTCACATCACAAATATTAATTATATTATTAAAATATTATATATATTTAATAAAATATTATTTTTCTCTCTTAAACATCTAAGGAATGTTTGGTTAGATAGATCAGACAATAATTAATGAGAATAAAAATAAAAAAAAAACTGTTTAATTTTATATGATATAGCGGGTCTATTCCTTCAGAAGTTTAAATTTTCATTCCCAGTTAAACGGGATGGAATGAATATTTACAAAAGATGCACATGAAATAATTAGAAGTCAAATACATCAGCCCGAAGGTAGACGACTCTTAGATTTGTATAGTAGAACATGTTTACTTCTAGAAACCTTTGTTTTCTTACGTATGTTTGTCTATTAATATATAGTAAATAGTCAGTTAAAATAATGATATCTCACAATAATTTTTATTGACTAACGGTATCATTCACCTATCGGGATTTATCTTAAACCACTTCATATCGTCACCTAACAATAGTCGTGTTATGCTTTTTCTCATATTTTTTATAAAATTATACTCCTTACAGTTTTCGGAATGTATGGTTTTACTTTTTTAATTAACAAAATGACAATTTTACCTTTAAAAATAGTTAGAGAGATTTTTTGTTTTTCATAATTAGGAGTAGAATGTGAAACTAGACATTTACTTTTAAATGCAAACACTTATTTCGAGAAAAAAAAACTATATTACAAATGTGAAGATTTATTTTAGAACGGAGGGAGTACAAATATATTCTCTTTCCGTCTTAAGTGTCCACATTTCTATTTTAGTTTATCTCAATATGTGTATTTTTTTTCCATTGTACTCTTATTTTTTTTTCTATTATTAAAAATAAAAATGTCATTTAATTAATTAAAAACTGTAACAATTATATAATTTTAAAACTGTATGTCATTTTGATATTAAATATTTATTTTGGAAAGTATCAATTGAGCACTGAAAATGGGAATGAAAGTGAAAACGACAGTGAATGAAAATGAGAATGAATTTTCATTACCTACAGTTTAATTAGGACTGAAATTTTGGGCTTTTAGAGGAATAAACCCATTTTATTACAAAAAACTAAATAATTTTTTTTATTTTAATTCATATTGATTACTGTTTAATACTTCTAACCAGATATCTCTTAAAAAAATTACAATTAAAAGAAAGAAATTGACTAAAGAATTGAAGGTTGTTAAGACATTGACTTGAAATCAACTGGAAATGTGCCAACAAAACCCAGTTTGGTGACTGCCCACTGATTTTAGGGTTTACTTTTTTGCCAACTTTTTTCCATAAATAGGAATTGATTTGGAATTGGGAAATGGGAATTGCAAATTCCATGTTTGAATTGGAATTGGAATTAGAATTGAAATTGGAATTGGAATTGGAATTTTTTATATTAAAGAAAGTGTCTAAAATAAAGTTTAGAATAATATAATATTATTTAAAATCTTATAAAATATATCTTATCTGAGTTAAAGAGGTAAAATGTCATAATATAACTATAAATCATCTTTAATTAATAAGTGCGAAACAACTAAAAATAAACTACAATGATAGTGTCTGATTGGTTTGAGTTTAAGTTCCAAAAGTTAAAAGTGTCTAGAGGTCCATGTTCAAATTCAAGGAGGAATAAAAATCTCCTTATGGCTACAGAGGTTTAAATGCGATGACTCCGGTCCGGACTATCAGCAAAACAAGTGGTCGATCTAAAATTAATCGACTCGTATAGCGTGTTAGATATCTAGATTAAGCAACTAAAAATATGAACCACACTAGCATATTTTTGAAGATTAAAAAATGTTATTTTAATATATGTAATTTTATTTTAATTGGTTGAAAATTTAATTTTTTAGAACTTAACACCCAATAACATGTTAAATAATAAGATATAAAAATATAAAATTAACTAATTGATTTAGACTAATTAATATACAATAAAAATGATTATAGTTAAAACGTTGAATTAACAAATATATGTCAAATATATAAACTACTATAATTTAGTACTGACAAACTATAAATAATCAGTGTTATTATGATAAATAGTGAAAATTTGAACAATAAAATTTAACACTGATATTATCCTTAACTCTTTCAGTTCCTATCTGTTGTATTTAAAAAAAAAAATATGTGTATTAGAATCAACTCGTTTTCATCCTTCCCGTTTGTCTTCGTAGGCCTTTTTTTAGTTTTTCCCGATCAAAATCAAGCGAGTTTTACATGAAGAAGATTTGGCTCAACGTGTTCTCGAAATCCCGGTATTTATTTCGCCTAAGATCGAGTCTCTCTACCAGATGTTCTACCCATAGCTTTCGGGAAAGTGATAACGGATAAGAAACGTCGGAATGTGATAATATTATTGTATTTATATTTTATATTAATTCATATGGGATTATAAATAATATTATTATAAAATATTCTGACAAATTAATTAATTTTTTTTTAAAAAAGTAGAAATATTTTAGAGGTTGTATCAACATGGTAAATTTTGAAAGAGATATCTTCCACCGACCAATCCCATGCCCCCAATTACTTTTTAAAAAGGTGGCCAAAATCAAATAAAATAAATACACGTGTTAAATTTTGAATGGTAAATAAAGTAATTAATTAACTCGTTATTTGATACATGGAACAGGTTAAACCACAGATGTTTCGTGTTTGACATGATTTTTATGTAAAACAGATGACAGATTGGAACGAAGTGAAACAAGTGTGTATTTCACTTTTACCCAACTTTATTTTAAAAAGAGAACAAACCTATACTTTACGTATATACCTTCAAGTAGAGATGAAAATGAAGAGGGTAATACATCCCACTATCCCTGGCTCCCGTTTAAGCCCCTCGACCCCGCTCCAAGTAATCCATGGCGGTAGGGACGGACCTATAGTGGTGCATATAGTGGCACTTGTCATTGTATTATTCCTACATCGACGGGTAAAAATTTTAGGTTCATGAAAAGTGCAACTGTATTAATTTGTTGTGTGTCACCGTATGTATTTTGAAACTACAATGAGAACAAGTTTTATTTGGTATAGTTGGTTTGCAAGACTTTTATTACACCCCAGACCCAAGTTCAAATCTGTTACTGTCATTTTCTTAGTCAAATGTTGCCACCGTTTGAAAAAAAAATTATGAAACGATACCACCGTTTGAAAAAAAAATTCCCTATATTTTTTTATAGTCAAATGGTGTCATCGTTTGAAAAAATTTATGGGTCCGAACCTGTATGGCGGACTTAGAGAACCCGTTACGTACTCGTTTAGGCAAAAACAATAAAAACGATGTATTTTAAAGTCATCAATCTATTACTTACCAATATTGAAGATCAAATATATTTATCATTTAATAAAACACAAAACTTATTCAGGGTTGGATTAGGGGCGCGGGGCGCCCTCCCCGACCCTGCTTCGGGTATGACACGTCCCCACCCCATTACCCGTCAAGACGGAATCCCGACCCCTACGGGTAAAATTTCCATCTCTACCTTTAAGGTTAATGTGCAGAGACGTAACCTCTATCTCAAAGTCGTAAAATGACTATTTTTGCAAATAAAAACCCAAACTGTATTCACCAAAGAGTCAAAACGGTGATACCAAGATTACTACTAGAACCCAACCACTTAATAGATCAAAAGTTAAAACCTCACTAAAAGTGAGGTATATATAGTTGTGGCCGTATATAAATATTATATACTTCAATCCTTCAAGGATTGGTTATTAGATTTAAATCTGTACATGTATTTCCGATGGACTTCTAACGCTACCATGGTTTACGACTTGATACATGCAAGATTCAAAGAAAAACGATGTTCATTTGTCATCATTTCTGTCGAGAAAACTCAACACGAAGCCGCTAACGATGCGTCTTGCAACGGGATTAGGAATACTACGGCATAACCTACCATCAACATATGCAACAATACCTGCAAACACGAACTGTCCAACGCCCCATTTCAAAACAGACATCTTACTCGGTTGTTTCGTGGCTTTTTCAGGTTTCCCCTTAAACTTATTCTCCCACTTGATTTTAGAAGTCATATCGCCCGCCTGCTTTCTCAGCCACCCAATTGCGAAATTTACGAAGAGGTGCTCACACAAAGTCAAAACCGTTGGACCGATTCTCCATTCCTGCAAAAGGAAAATTAAAAATCATCGATCAGATCTTAAATAATTTGGGCTGAGAACTTAACTTTCTCTATGGTTGTTCATATCATTCCGAAAATGAGACAAGAATAAAAGTTCCACAAGGAAGTAAGAGTCTCTTTGTTATCAGGTTAATGAGCTTAATGATACTAACAACTTATTCGGTCAACTATACATGACTGTTTGGTAGTGGTGTAATGATATAGAAAGTGGTTTATTCAGTAAGCTTCTAAGGGGAGTTTTATGCAGAAAGTCAAACTTCTTTTTCTTCCAAACTTGCCCCTCCCAATTAAAAAACATGCTCCTTCTATCTATAAAAAAACCCTCCTCCCCAAAAACCTTCACAGTGTATACAGACAGATTAATGCACGTAGACAACTTTATCCATATAAGAATATGTAAAATCCTATTAGATTACTTTCCGAAAGAGCCCTTGAGGAGCAAATGGAGGTTCTAACATGTATTGGGGAGAAATTGTCCAAATTTAGTGTAGGACTCCAACACACTCCCTCCAACGGAGGCTAGACGGGCACAAATTGTTTCTAGAGTAAATTAAGATTTTTGTCTCTATGGTCTGTTAATAATTTCGATTTTCATCCCTGTGGTTTAGAAGTTGTGAGTTTCCTTATGGTTGCAATTTTCGTCTTTGGACTAATTCCTACCTTTAAGTACAAGAGACCAAAATAGTAAAGAATTGTAAATCACAAGAAACTACACTAAATTGTAAATCATAAGAACGAAAATAGAAATTACAAACCATAAGGACGAAAACCGGAATTTCTAAACCACAGGGACGAAAATCGCAATTTTTAACAAACACATGAACGAAAAACATAATTTACTTCTGTTTCCAAGTGTTGAGCCCCCAAAGTAGTAAATGGCTCTGATACCATATAAGAATATATGAAATCCCATTAGATTTATCTCCAAAATAGCCACTAAGAAGAGAAGGGAGGTTTCTACATATATTGAAAAGCCATGAATACTCACATGCGAGGACTCCATAAAGGATCCTACCTTTTCGCAAAATGGTTTAAGTTCACTAAGTGGCCGTTGTGTCAAATTTTACCGTGTAAGTGCTTACCGGTAAGATTCAACACTTTCAATTCACTTCACGCTAAGATTTTAATATATTAAAACGACATTCTAAGCAATATTTTTATTCGGTAAGCATGTATCATGTAAGAGTCATCACTCACACTTACCGGGTAAGACTCTCGGTCCTTGTCATTGCACTTACCGGGTAAGATTCTCAATCCTTATCATGTTCATCCGATAAGGTAAAGCAACCCAGTAAGTACTTACCGAGTAAGCGTCTACTAAATGGTCCCTAAGTAAATCTTTTACGAGAATGAACTTGTTCGGAAGAAATTAAATGCGATTTGGATTAGAAATAATAGAAAAGGGAGTAGTAGACTTGCATTTCCTCCTCGAAGATGATGTAAACGATGAGAGGATGACATCTCTCCTTTCAACAATCCCTTGCTCATAAGGAATCCCTTCACATGGTCGGTAATTTCATCTATAAGAGCACTGTTTGGTGGCAGATTCTTTAGTACAACCTACAAATGTTGAAAACAAGAAAACTGTTTAACAGGAATCGAGTGACTACCGATCAAAACTAACTCAAAAATGTGCAAATAACCGCTGACTTGAAATATATATACATGTTTTAATTTGGTTATCAAGGATCACATCATTTTTCAATGAACTGAAAGAAGTTGCACTGAAGATATGTGACCACAGATCAACATAAGATAATTACATAGCACGATAACAGTTAGAAATGGTATGGAGATACCTGGTCATCGATCACTCTCACTCTGAGATATTCGTGTTTATACATTGTATCCAACATAGCTTGCAAATATCCTTCGATATATAACTGTGCAATTCCAAAAATTATTTCAGGAAAAAAGGTCGGGATGACATGATTTGGCTACAAAAGAATATGTAAAATCATAGCACTTATAACAAACACAGTCTGACCAGGATATGGAAAGGGATGCTAACTTTGACAATTTTTCCATCTTGGAGCCTATTTTTCACGAATAAAGATCTCCGGTCTCCAAAACCCATGTCCCACCAATTACGTTAAGACACATAATTACTTCATTTAATCTAAATTTATTTCATTTATGTTTTCATTTTCTTTGATGATGTTCTTTCACATTTCTATTTTAGTTTGTCCCAAAATAAGTGTCCACTTTCAAACATAAAAATAATTCATTACTCCCTTCATTATTTAGGACAAAACTGTCATTTAGTTAATTAACAGTGTAATAATTACATAGAACCCATGAGCCTTTTCATTGTGGACATTTGTTTTGGGACGGAGGAAGTAGCAATTTGGATGGGAAACAAACAACTATATCAATGTAAAAAATGGGTCGGCATACCAGAATATTGAGGTAAAAAGTGTACTCGCAACAAACACTTATAAACACGTCTCCAAGAATACATATAAATCACCTCATCGATGCCCGGATTACGATCAAGCTTAATTTTTCTATCTGGGCCACCTTCCATAAAAGCACTCCCGAGTACAGATGGCTCCATCGCCAATTTGAGTATTCCTTGCCGAAAACCACTAAACTGAAAGAAAAAAAACTTGAAGATGAAAAACATTCGATAGTGTTCAACATGGAATTTTAAATTTCAAAAGAAAAAGAAGTTCACCATTCCATCAACCCCACTCGTTTCTGCTCCCCTCAACACGGAATCTGATATCTCTGTAACAGCAGCAAAAAGGATATTTGATCCAGCCGTTTTTAGCTGCAACATCAACAGGGTAAAGAGTTTGTGCACTTAACGAAAACCCAACATGAAAATGAACCAAAAAGAGCACTTACAGTTTTCCCTAGATCACCTAAATACCGTTTGGTCCCGGTAAAGCCTTTACCATCAATGCATTTACTGAGGAGCTTGAACGTACCTGCAAGCATTGAGCAAGGATTATATTGTGGAAATTCGAGCAAAAACAACCAAGGACCTCAAAAGCCATCTTATGTAAAAGGAAAATATATATATATATATATATAGAGAGAGAGAGAGAGAGAAACACTTTCATAACCATTCATCTGCACGATATGCACATATGCATACAAATAATTGAAGAAGTTTTCTGGTTTTAATGCTCGTGTGCATGTTATGCACATGTGCATACCGGGCAAATTACTTGTATGCAGATGTAGATATTGTAAAGATGAATTGTTACTACGTTGTTCCTCACTTTTTCATTTTCTTGCGGTTTTCCCCTGAACCTGACCCCATATTATATACTCACAAAAAGTTAAATGAGGGAGAGAGACCTAAGGTGAGACCAGGAAGCTTGACCAAGCCACTTGAAGGATCGAAAAAAACATCGAGGGAGGAAGAAGCGAGGTCATCAAAAATTGAAGCAAAAGCTGGGGGAAGCAATGGGCTTCCTTTTGCTATATAGATTGCTCGCATGGCATACCTATATAAATGTAAAAGTGAAGACGATGAGATAACATCATAGTGAATGAAGCAACTTCAAGTTTAGATGATAGGCTTACCATGAATAATGTTGTGCACATTTGATAGAAAGTTCACGTATAGTAATCAAAGCACTAGTAACCAGGACACCATTCAGCTCTACAGTCTTGTTTTTTATTTCAGGAACCTAATAATCAAAAGGAGAGAATAGAAACATCACTGCCACATACACCGTCCCAGGGGGAAAAGAAACAGCAATAACAAAAACAAGTCTTTTATCAAAATCTAGTTGGGTAGGCTTCAAATGAACCAAAAGCTGTAAAACCCAATAGAAAACGGTGAAACCCTCAGGCTTCCGGCACATGAATGAAACCTTTTTATGAACTCCTATCTAAGGCTTAACTTATTTGGTATACCCTACTCTCAAATATCTATCTTCATTGATTCCTGTTGTCATTCTTCAGGGCGGACCCACAATGGTGCATACTTTGGTATGGGCCGTTGCTTCGTTCTTCTGTCGTAGTGTAAAAAATTTAGGGACATGAAAGGTGCCACCATATTATTTTGTTAGGTGCAACTGTATATTTCTTGAAACTACAATAATAACACAAGTTTTTTTTGGCAAAGACGGTTTGCCCGATCATTTCTCCTCTTCCAGGAGCGGGGTTCGAATCCCATTTGTATCATTTCTTAGTTTTTAGCTTTTAGTTCCAGGTTTATTATGTTTCTAATATTTTTTAGGATTAGAGACTCGAACACAGGACCTCAAATACAAAAAGCAAGGAACTAACCAACAGTTCAATGACAATTCTGAAATATCCATATCTTCGTTTCTTGTAGTCAAATGGTTCCACCACTCGAAAAAACTCCTAGGTCCATCTCAGCCATTCTTGACTGACCTCTACCTCTCCTAATAGGAATCATGATGACAACACTCTTTGAAAATCTAAAAAGTAAAAACATAAATACCTTAACTGATCAATTCCTCATCATCTCATTTGATAATTTCCTTTATCGGTACTCTATATTTTGCAAAACAATTTTTTTCTAAATTATGTAATTTGTTATGTATTTAGGTCTAATTTTACATAACTTGTGATTTTGTATAAGTTTTGTTTTATTAAAAATATAAAATGATTTTTAGGCCCGTTAGCCCGTTGGAAAGTCGGCCCGTTTATAGGGCAGGTAAGGGTAAGTTTTCAAGCCCATAAAAAGGACTAGAGTTTGCTATATTAGGCCCATTGGACAAGAAAAAAAGGTTAGGCCTGGCCCAAGCCTGCAAATGATCAGCTCTACACCTAACTTACTGTAATGATCGTCAACTATGTACCGACATGTTCACACGGGATTGACAAGAGGGATGCAGGGTGCTATTAAACCAGCATCAATGCACAAATGACAATAAAGAATAGGGAAGGACGTTGATGTCAATCACTCACAAATAAATGATACACCAATGCAAGTATAAAATAATAAAATAAGAGCACAAAAGAGTTTGAAATTCTCATGACAGACCTTTATCACGCTGTGCAGCAAAGACCTCATAGTCTCTTGTGTCGAATTATAGCTGGAATATGAATCTCCTGGGAGAAAGCTTGCTATGATCTTCAAGGCATGTAAGTGATGCTGTTAATTCCTTTATTAATAAAATCCAATGTACATTAGGCATAAAGAGAGTAGCATAAAACCTTTACTGGATGGATCTCAAAATGATCGAAGTAATATTGCTGACTTGGAGTATTTGGGTCACTGAGTGATGTTCTATAGAAAGGGACAATTTTCATCAGGGTTTCCTCATCCAGGTTCAAGTCAACTGGCTACAGATACATAAAAGGCATGAATTATGTCATGAAAGATGGATGATCCAGTCATGAACTCATAGGGTGTGTTTGGAATCCAGACAGGCAGGACCGAACGGTGTTCAGCATTTGGTAAGATAAAACTAGATAGGATAGAACAGATAAAATGACCAATTTACTCCAAATAAATTATTTATATGTTTTATATATTTTGATTAATTTATGTACTTTATCAAATTATAATAAAATAAACATTTTTGTAACAAAATATATCATCAGAAAGTTTCCCATCAAGACGATTAAAATGACACCAAAATAAACAGTTTATGTAGTTTTCAATTTTTATTTTATACATTTTCTATGTTATTTTATTATTATTAATATTTAATAAATTACATAAATAAACCAAAATAGAGAAACCATATAAGAATAATATTTTGAGGATAGTAAAGTGGAAGTTCAAAAAGCATAAAATACAATAAATAAAACTTAAAAGAATGAATAAAATGTAGGAGGCATATTTGAATTTTTAGAAGAGAATTAGATTTTTTTTAGGATATATTGGTAAAATGTAGGTTTGTTCCACCTTGTTCCATGGGGTGGGGGTGGAACACGTTTGTTCCACTTTGTTCCTGTATGTTCCACATAAAAGTCCTGCCAAACATGGAACAGTGATCCCTGTTCTGTTCTGTCTTGTGTACCAAACGCACCCAAAATGTTCAAGAAAATGGTTCTAATCAATTTCAATTGCATCAATCACGAACTCACATGTGTATCGTATAAAAACCTTAGCAAAAATCAAGACTACTGTATTGAAGGAAAGTAGGTTTCTGTTTTACCTGAAGAACAATGGATGAATATTTTACTTGTCGGATATTAGAACTGGATGGAAGCAGAATGAGTACTACACGGAGCATGCTGTCAGATGTATCCGAGAATCCCGTTTGATGCCTGCGAAGCATTGCTGCAAAAGGAGCTCCTACCCACTTTTGATCCACACTCACAGACTGCACTTAATTTGTCAGTGACAATCATCAGGATCTCATAATTGTTTCTTTGAGGAAAGCACATCAAGGATAGACATATAAGAGTAAGGGCCTGCTTGTTAGCAGCTTAATGAGCTTAATGGGACTCACAACTTACTCGGTCAGTTATACATGACTGTTTGGTAGTGGCTTAATGATATAGAAAGTGGTTTATTCAGTAAGCTTCTAGTGAGGAAGCTTTATGCAGAAAGCCAAGTTTTTTTTTTTCCAAACCAGCTCCTCCCAATTAAAAAACACTCACCTTCCGTCTATGAAAAAACCCTTCCAAACAAAGACCTTTCAATCCATATAGACAGATTAATCCACACAGACAGCTTCATCCATACCAGGACTTAATGGAAAACCAACCAAACAGCCCCCAAGACATTAAAAATGGAAAAGAACAGGTTACCTGAACTCTAATCTGATTCAGTTTTTGTTGATCAGTAAGCATGGAATCCAGACTGATGTTACTCAGCCGCACAACAATGATTGGTGTGTAGACAAGTGACCCATCCGACTCTTCTTCCTTCAGTGACTGATTCATATGTGAAGACAAGTTTCCATCAAAAGACTATAGTTTAGCCACATTGTGGTCTTTAGTTATTAATTTGAAAAACTGGAAGGTAAATTACCAGAATGCAACATTATGTGTTCCAAGCATACACAGAGACTCTGATGCAATTGGATTATTTGTAATTTAAGTTATGCGTAAACGATCAAAGATGGAACCCTTGGTACTGGGGTTGTGAAATATCAACATCAAAACATGTTTTACTATATTTTCCTTAAAAACATCATATCAACCAGATATAATGTCTATTTCTGTAGTTGGTACTGAGTCATGAAATTTCAACATTAAAACATGCTTTCACTGTTTTTCCCTTCAGGATGCGTTTGGTATCCAGACAGGAAAGGATAGGACAGGCCAGAATAGTTGTACAGCATTTGGTAAGACAGAATCGGACAGTACATAACATATAAAAGGACCAATTTAACCCTAATGACTTGTTTATACATTTTGATTAATTTATGTAATTTATTAAGTTATAACAAAATAAATACTTTTTATAACAAAATATATCATTAGAAAGTTTTCGTCAAAACGATTAATATGACACCAAAATAAAAAGTTTATATAGTTTACAATT